TTTCCTAGTGGAGGGTTATAGTGGTTATTGTCCCTAGTGGAGGGTTATAGCGGTTATAGTCCCTAGTGGAGGTTTTAGTGGTTATAGTCCCTAGTGGAAGGTTATAGTGTTATAGTCCCTAGTGGAGGGTTATAGTGGTTATAGTCCCTAGTGGAGGGTTTTAGTGGTTATTGTCCCTAGTGGAGGGTTATAGTGTTATTGTCCCTAGTGGAGGTTATAGTGGTTATAGTCCCTAGTGGAGGGTTATAGTGTTATTGTCCTAGTGGAGGGTTATAGTGGTTATTGTCCCTAGTGGAGGTTATAGGGGTTATAGTCCCTAGTGGAGGGTTATAGTGGTTATTGTCCCTAGTGGAGGGTTGTAATGGAGTTATAGTCCCTAGTGGAGGGTTATAGTGAGTTATTGTCCTTGAGGTTATAGTGGTTATTGTCCCTAGTGGAGGGTTATAGCGGTTATAGTCCTAGTGGAGGTTATAGTGGTTATTGTCCCTAGTGGAGGGTTATAGCGGTTATAGTCCCTAGTGGAGGGTTATAGTGGTTATTGTCCTAGTGGAGGGCATAGTGGAGTTATAGTCCCTAGTGGAGGGTTATAGGAGTTATTGTCCCTAGTGGAGGGTTGTAGTGAGTTGTCCCTAGTGGAGGGTTGTATGGAGTTATAGTCCTAGTGGAGGTTATAGTGGTTGTCCCTAGTGGAGGGTTATAGTGCAGTTATAGTCCCTAGTGGAGGTTATAGCGGTTATAGTCCCTAGTGGAGGTTATGGTTATTGTCCTAGTGGAGGGTTATAGCATATAGTCCCTAGTGGAGGGTTATAGTGGTTATTGTCCCTAGTGAGGGTCATAGTTATAGTCCCTAGTGGAGGGTTATAGCAGTTATTGTCCCTAGTGGAGGGTCAGGCAGTTATAGTCCCTAGTGGAGGGTTATAGTGCAGTTATTGTCCCTAGTGGAGGGTTGTAGGAGTTATTGTCCCTAGTGGAGGTTATAGTGGTTATTGTCCCTAGTGGAGGGTCATAGTGCAGTTATAGTCCCTAGTGGAGGGTTAAGTGGAGTTATTGTCCTAGTGGAGGGGTAGTGGAGTTATTGTCCCTAGTGGAGGGTTATAGTGGTTATTGTCCCTAGTGGAGGGTTATAGTGCAGTTATAGTCCCTAGTGGAGGGTTATAGTGGAGTTATTGTCCCTAGTGGAGGGTTGTAGTGGAGTTATTGTCCCTAGTGGAGGGTTATAGTGGTTATTGTCCCTAGTGGAGGGTTATAGTGGTTATAGTCCTAGTGGAGGGTTATAGTGTGGTTGGTCCCTAGTGGAGGGTCATAGTGGTTATTGTCCCTAGTGGAGGGTTATAGTGGTTATTGTCCCTAGTGGAGGTCATAGTGCAGTTATAGTCCCTAGTGGAGGGTTGTAGTGGTTATTGTCCTAGTGGAGGGTCATAGTGCAGTTATAGTCCCTAGTGGAGGGTTATAGTGCAGTTATAGTCCCTAGTGGAGGGTTACAGGAGTTATTGTCTCAGTGGAGGGTTGTAGGAGTTATTGTCCTAGTGGAGGGTTGTAGTGGAGTTATTGTCCCTAGTGGAGGGTTGTAGTGGAGTTATTGTCCCTAGTGGAGGGTTATAGTGGTTATTGTCCCAGTGGAGGTCATAGTGCAGTTATAGTCCCTAGTGAAGGTTACAGTGGAGTTATTGTCCCTAGTGGAGGGTTGTAGTGGAGTTATTGTCCCTAGTGGAGGGTTGTAGTGGAGTTATTGTCCCTAGTGGAGGTTATAGTGGAGTTATAGTTCCTAGTGGAGGGTTATAGTGGTTTTGTCCCTAGTGGAGGGTTATAGTGGTTATTGTCCCTAGTGGAGGGTCATAGTGCAGTTATAGTCCTAGTGGAGGTTATAGTGGTTATTGTCCTAGTGGATGGTCATAGTTCAGTTATAGTCCCTAGTGGAGGGTTATAGTGGAGTTATAGTTCCTAGTGGAAGGTTATAGTGGTTATTGTCCCTAGTGGATGGTCATAGTGCAGTTATAGTTCCTTGAGTGGAGGGTTATAGTGGTTATAGTCCCTAGTGGAGGGTTATAGGTTATTGTCCTAGTGGAGGTCATAGCAGTTATAGTTCCTAGTGGAGGTTATAGTGGTTATTGTCCCTAGTGGATGGTCATAGTTCAGTTATAGTTCCTAGTGGAGGTTATAGTGCAGTTATAGTCCCTAGTGGAAGGTAGTGCAGTTATAGTCCCAGTGGAGGGTTATAGTGGAGTTATTGTCCCTAGTGAGGGTTATAGTGGTTATAGTCCCTAGTGGAGGGTTGTAGTGGAGTTATTGTCCCTAGTGGAGGGTTATAGTGGTTATAGTCCCTAGTGGAGGTTATAGTGGTTATTGTCCCTAGTGAGGGGCTAGTGCAGTTATAGTTCCTAGTGGAGGGTTATAGTGGTTATTGTCCCTAGTGGAGGTCATAGTGCAGTTATAGTTCCTAGTGGAGGGTTATAGTGCAGTTATAGTCCCTAGTGGAGGGTCATAGTGCAGTTATAGTCCTAGTGAGGGTTATAGGTTATAGTCCCTAGTGGAGGGTTATAGTGGTTATTGTCCCTAGTGAGAGGTCATAGTGCAGTTATAGTTCCTAGTGGAGGGTTATAGTGGTTATTGTCCCTAGTGGAGGGTCATAGTGCAGTTATAGTTCCTAGTGGAGGGTTATAGTGCAGTTATAGTCCCTAGTGGAGGGTTATAGTGGTTATAGTCCCTAGTGGAGGGTCATAGTGCAGTTATAGTCCCTAGTGGAGGTTATAGTGCAGTTATAGTCCCTAGTGAGGGTTATAGTGCAGTTATAGTCCTAGTGGAGGTTATAGTGGAGTTATATCCCTAGTGGAGGTTATAGTGAGTTATAGTCCCTGTGGAGGTCATAGTGCAGTTATAGTCCCTAGTGGAGGGTTATAGTGGAGTTATAGTCCCTAGTGGAGGTCATAGTGAGTTATAGTCCCTAGTGGAGGGTTATAGTGGTTATAGTCCCTAGTGGAGGTTATAGTGGTTATAGTCCCTAGTGGAGGGTTATAGTGGAGTTATAGTCCCTAGTGGAGGGTTATAGTGGAGTTGTAGAAGGAAGAGATAAATGCAGGAGAAACGTAGAGAAAATGTTGATAAAAACAAAAGGAAAGAGACGAAATAGTGACATAAAAGAGAATAAAGTGTAACAGGAGTAGACGAGAGAAAGAGACCCGGAGAGAGAGAAGAGAAGAGGAATTGACAGAGAAATAAGTAAAAAAAAATAGAATAAGATACATGAAGAATTAAAAAGAAGAAAAAAATAGAACATGAAGAGAAAATAAATATGAAAATTTATGAAAATTTAACAACTAAAAAAAATGAATTAAAGAAAAAGAAAAGAAGAGGAAAAATATATGAAAAAACAAGTAAACGGATATAAATACCACAACAATGGGATGAAAGAGAAGTAGAGGAAGGAAAATAAAGAGGAGGAATAGGAGAGACAGATAAAGTTGGGGTCAGAAGAGAGGATGATGGATGGAACGAAAAAGAATGGGAGTAACAAGTGTGATAAGAATTATGGATGGCTGAGGGAGAGGGGAAGTGAGAGATGGGTGAGAGGGGAGGCGAGAGGGGAGGCGAGAGATGGGTGAGAGGGGAAGTGAGAAATGGATGAGAGGGGAAGTGAGAGGGAGGCGAGAGATGAGGAGAGGGGAGCAGAGTGGAGAGGGGAAGGCAGAGGGGAGGCGAGATGAGGGAGAGATGAGTGAGAGGGAAGTGAGAGGGGAGGCGAGAGATGAGGAGAGATGGGTGAGAGGGGAGGCGAGAGATGGGTGAGAGGGGAAATGAGAGATGGGTGAGAGGGGAAGTGAGAAATGGATGAGAGGGGAAGTGAGAGATGGGTGAGAGGGGTTGATGGTAGGTCAGATAAAAAGAAGTGTGTGGAATCATATTTACAGGTGGGGAAGAAAAAAGAGAGAGAGAGAGAGAGAGAGAGAGAGAGAGATTAAGAATAAACTAATATCTAGGGTGAGAGTGATGACCAAATGAGAATAGGAAGTAGAGGTAAGCCAATAAAAGCAGGAATAAGTGGGGTGAGAGGGAGAGAGGGAGAGGAGAAGGTCGAGGATAAAAAGACTTCCGCAAATAGATTGGAAAGTTACAAGATTTGGGGAGAGACAGATTAAGTGATAAGAGGGGAGATGAAGAGGGGATAAAATGGGTGTGACATAGGGTGTGATGATTGAAGGGGAAAAGGACTAGAAGATAGGAGAGAGAGATCTGGGACGGTCATGAAGGCAGCACAGTACTGAGGTGTTATGTGCCAGCCGAAAATATTGAACAGCTGGTGGCATCCTGTTATGTTTAGAACACAAGCAACTTTATTCGCTGTTTCTCGAGTTTTCTGTCTGTTTTATCTGTTTTTCTCTTTTTTCTGTCTGTCACTCTCTGTTTTTCTCTCTTCTGTCTGTGTTCACTCTATATTATTCTCATTCTTTTTCTCTATTTTATCTTGTACTTTTCTGTCTATGTTCGGTTTTTTTCTTCTCTTTTCTGTCAATCTATTTCTCTTTATATTTGTTTGTCAATATCTTTCTTATTTTTCTGTCTCCTGGTGCTGTATTACTTCTGATCGTTGGAAAGAAACTAAGAGAAAACAATTGGAAAAGTTTGGAGGGAATGGCAGTCAGTCTGATAGGTCTTAACGCCCAGGTAAACGTCATTATGTTATGTCAGGAGACTTTATAGTATCAATGATAATGACTAAATAACTCTTAGGTGTATTGCACAGAATATTACAAGGAATTAGGTCAAATAAGTAGGAATTTGACCTGTTTTTGTGTCAGGTAAAAATAATAAGAAGAACATTACTAACGTAGTTTTAATAACTTTGATCATCTTGTTAATTATTTGTCAGTTTTAGGTAAAAGGAAATGAAAACGCGGCATTAACGCAGCAATGTTTTGTTGGTCACTCTTATTTATACTTGTATAAGAATAGGTTACGTCTTAATTGTCCTTAATAACAAGCTACTCCTTCACGGCCTCCTGCAGATCCAGTGGGTGGACGACAGCCGGCGGGAGACCATCAGGACCGGGTCTCTCCTGGCGACAGAGACCATGTCTGACGGGAAGCGCGTCACGGTCCGCTCTCGCCTCTCCTTCACCCCCCGCCGCTCTCATCACAATTCTTCCCTCACCTGCCTCACCTCCAACCAGGCCCTCAGCTCACCCCTCTCCAGGTGGGTATAACTGGCCCTCAGTTCACCCCTCACCAGGTGGGTATAACTGGCCCTCAGCTCACCCCTCTCCGGGTGGGCATTACTGGCCCTCAGCTCACCCCCTCCAGGTAGGTATAACTGGCCCTCAGCTCACCCCTCTCCAGGTGGCATTACTGGCCCTCAGCTCACCCCTCTCCAGGTGGGTATTACTGGCCCTCAGCTCACCCTCTCCAGGTGGGTACACGGCCTCAGCTCACCCCTCCAGGTGGGTATAACTGGCCCTCAGCTCACCCCTCCAGGTGGGTATTACTGGCCTCAGCTCACCTCCAGGTGGGTATTACTGGCCCTCAGCTCACCCCTCTCCAGGTGGGTATAACTGGCCCTCAGCTCACCCCTCTCCAGGTGGGTATAACTGACCTCAGCTCACCCCTCTCCAGGTGGGTATAACTGGCTCTCAGATCACCCCTCCAGGTGGGTAACTGACCCTCAGCTCACCCTCTCCAGGTGGGTATAACTGACCCTCAGCTCACCCCTCCAGGTGGGTATAACTGACCCTCAGCTCACCCTCTCCAGGTGGGTATAACTGGCCCTCAGCTCACCCCTTCCAGGTGGGTATAAATGGCCCCTCAGCCACCCCCTCCAGGTGGGTATAACTGGCCCTCAGCTCACCCCTCTCCAGGTGGATATAACTGGCCCTCAGCTCACCCCTCTCCAGGTGAGTATAACTGACCCTCATCTACCACCTCCACCCCAGCTAGGTCATTGGTTAGGACAGGTCAGCCGTGATGGTCAGCCAGTGTAATGTAGGAACTTAACCTTTTGGACACACTTTATACCCACATATTACATTATAACCCAGTGCTATGTGGGGTCCTCTACACCCATGATGACCTAAAGTGTAAGTATTTGTCACCTACACATGAGAGAGAGAGAGAGAGAGAGAGAGAGAGAGAGAGACAGAGATGTGTAACAAGGCCTGTTATAGGCTGTTATCCCCACACATGTTATTATATGCTCCAACCACGTCAATGTACACAGGCGGTAGTGTGTGTGTGTGTCTGTCTGTTGTTCCTATTTTGTATTTCATGAGTTACTGCTTTGTTCTCCACCCTCCTTTATCTCATTACTTCCAATTCTCTCGCCCCCTCGCTCTTCATTTTCCTCATTTCCTATTCATCTACTCTTATTTTTTTGTCATTCCTTATTCACTTCTTCCATTCAATATATTCAAATTTTACTCCGAAATTCTTCTTGTTATTCATTATCCTTCTCCGTGTCTATTCTTCTCATCGTTATTATGTCATTGTTTTTTTCCACCAATTATCACCGTGTGTCCCATATTCACGTCGACCATTCTTCGGCACAGCATTCCTTATTTATTTATTTATTTTTCCCTTTCAGTTCTCTCTCTTCTTTCTATCTCCTTCCTCCTTGACTCACCCTTCTCATTAATTCTCCTTTCGCTTTGATATTTATTCACATTCATCAATTCTCCTTAGTTGTTGGTCTTCTTCTTCTCGTCTTTCTTAGTACTCTTCCTCAAGCACCTCTCACTTTTCTTTTCTCTCTCCATTCACCTCTCACCTTCGTCCTTCATGTCACCCTTTCGTCCCTCTCCACTTGTCTTCTTCCTCTTCTTCTTTCCCTTTTACCAGCCCTCTCACCCACTTCTCAAAATCGCCTTTTCTCTTATCCACATCTTTACTCTCTCTCTCACCTTCATCCCGCTCATCTCCTTCCTCTCCTTAACTAACACTTCTTAACCCTCTCCTCTCACCCCTCTCCCCGCAGTTCGATCCAGCTGAGTGTTCTCTTCCCGCCGGAGGTCTGTCTACACGTCCGCCCCCAGCAGTTGGTCGAAGGTGACGACGCCAACTTCGTCTGTAGCGCCCAGGCCAACCCCAGCGTCATAACCTACAGGTGAGTCCTCGTCTACAGGTGCAATTATCACCAACAGGTAAGTCATCTACTACAAGTAAAAACCAGAGTCATCACCCACAGGTAGGGTCAGAGGTCGAGTCATCATCCACAGGTAAGGTCAGAGGTCAAGTCATCACACACAGGTAAGGTCAGAGGTCAAGTCATCATCCACAGGTAAGGTCAGAGGTCAAGTCATCATCCACAGGTAAGGTCAAGGCAAGTCATCATCCACAGGTAGTCAACCAGGACAGAGGTCAAGTCATCACACACAGGTAAGGTCAGAGGTCAAGTCATCACACAGGGACAGAGGTCAAGTCATCACTCAGGTAAGGAGAGAGGTCGTCATCACCCACAGGTAAGGTCAAAGGTCAAGTCATCACCAAGTTAGGACAGAGGTCAAGTCATCACTCAGGTAAGGAGAGAGGTCAAGTCATCACCCACAGGTAAGGTCAAAGGTCAAGTCATCACCCACAGGCACAGGTAGTTAACGCTCACTGAGGTATGATTTGATTTCGTGTTCAATCTTGTTTTATAACTGATAACTCACACAGGTTAGGCTTCACTGTGTGTGTGTGTGTGTGTGTGTGTGTGTGTGTGTGTGTGTGTGTGTGTGTGTGTGTGTGTGTGTTTATTGTACCTGTGTATTTGTCAGTGCATGAGTGAGTGTATATGTATTTGTGTAAGAGTTTATTTGTGTTACGGGTGTATTTGTGTACGAGTGTACAGTATATATAACAAACAGTATTTTGGAACAGTTGGTGAAGCGGAATATTCAATGTTGAATGGGTTTTTTATCGTGTGTGTGTGTGTGTGTGTGTGTGTGTGTGTGTGTGTGTGTGTGTGTGTGTGTGTGTAAAAGATTAGATACACAAAGGCAGTAGAGAGATCACACAGTTACAGTGAGATGAAATTTAAAAAGAGAATCTCCTACGAAGTGGAAACCTTTGATAGATTCTCATAGAAGTATATATTTTTTTTTTTTTTTACGGGGATTAGCCCACCAGGCACAGGTCGAACGACCCACAACGGGGCCTGGGCAAAAAAAATAAGAACAAAGAAATTAAAATAGGAAGAAAAAGGTTATATATGTACTGTGTTAATCTACACCACGAAGATGCCGGCAAACCAGCTTTATAAAGTCATCAGATTGTATAGGTATGGAGACACAGAAGGCAGAGCATTCCACAGTTTGGCTGTGTGAGGAAAGAAGGAGGTACTATAACGGGTTATTCTAGTGTGACCGACACAGGATGCCAAATCCACCGAACATTGCCCGTTAAAGTACCTGAAAAGAGAGAGAAGCAACATTGCGGCGAAGAGAAAGGGAAGAAAGATTGTCAACTAAAGGAGGAGTTAATAAGACGAAATGCCTTTGATTCCACCCTATCTAACAGTTGACAGAAGAAGAAGAGCCACCCCAGATATGAGAGCAGTACTCCAAGTTAGGACGAATGAATCCCTTATATACTTGAAGCAACTGCTCAGGAGTGAAGTAACTACGGCATCTGTATAGCATTCCCAGCTTTCGGGAGGCAGCTTTAACTCTTTTAAGGATGTGTGATTTCCATGACATATTGGAGGAAATGGTGAGGCCTAGCATATCTATTTTAGAATTTGGCAGAATGATAGCGTCCTGAAATGAACACAAGAAGAACTGTCAAATACCATCTTTTTTATTTGGCAATTATCTTCTACCCCACTGCCCACACCCTCAAACTACCCCCCCCCCAACACTCCAAACCTTCAAATTCTCCCACTGTTCCTCTCATTCTCACTCTCCCTCCCACACTCTCCACAACCCCTCCACACACTCCACCACCCCTCCCCACACCTCCACCACCCTCCCCACACTCCACCACCCCTCCCCACACCTCCACCACCCCTCCCACACTCCACCACCCCTCCCACCTCTCCACCACCCCTCCCACTTCCACCACCCTCCCACACACTCCACCACCCCCTCCCCACACACTCCACCACCCCTCCCACACACTCCACCACCCCACACACTCCACCACCCCTCCCACACACTTCACCACCCCTCCCACACATCAGTCTCCTTCACTGGTTGCTTTCCCTCACTCATCCCCATTTCTAATTTCCCAGACCCACGTGTCACTTCCCAGACCCACGTGTCACTTTCCAAACCCACGTGTCACTTCCCAGACTTCTCTCTCTCATTCAATACTTAACCTCCATTTTAAGGTGAATGATGTCCTATGGGCACTGTATAATGTTGTCTCCAGCGGTGAGCAGCTGCCTTCACATGGTGTGTATTCATCTGCCTGACATCCGTGGTGGCGGTGAAGAGGTTCCATAACTTGGCCGCCCTGACGGTGAAGGTCCTGGTGCTGGCTGGTACGTGACCCAGGTACCGTCCTCGTGTTCCGCTGTATAGGATTGAGATGTAGTCGAGGAGTGGGACGACTACTCCGCAGATAAACACTGTTTAATTTAACTGCCGTAGCAGCAGGGGAGCAAGATATTACCATCACCCGCTGCTCTGTCTACAGCAACCACGAGGGTATCTAATCCGTCGTCCAAGACTTATTACCATTCCTTTGAGAGGGGGAGGAGGTCATCAGTGGATCGTGATGGGCGGAAACCAAACTGTTTGTTGGACAGTAGAGAGTACCTGTCAAGGTGGCCACAAATTTCATCAGGAATCACTCTTTCAAGTAGTTTGCTTACTGTAGAAAGCAAGAAAATGGGGTGGTAGTTTTAGGAACCCGACCTTGACTTCCTTTTGTAGACCGGAACTACCCTCGTCTGCCTCCAGACGGTGGGCCGGGTGTTCTCTTGTATACAGTCAGTGAAGACGTGTGTTAGTTCGGCGACACACTTGTGTAGAACATGAGGACTCGCCTCGTCAGGACCAACTGCCTTTCTAACATTGATGTGTTGTAACAGATTCTTTATTTTCTCTTGGCTGATTTGTACTCGTATGTGATTTAGTTGACTTTCACACAGAGGCAGCTGAGGTGGGGTTCTGTCAGGACGGGGAAGTCACTGAACATTCTCCCTAAAAGTTCTGCCTTTTGGGGGTTACTAGAGGCAACTGTTCCATCTAGTTTATAATGAGATGGAACTCTTATCTTGCTTCATAATTCCATGTTTATCTTTCACCAAGTTTTGCTCCCTACTCCAGGGTGTTGCGAGTGTCTGTTTCATGGCCCATTTGGTGGTAGTCGCCATCTGTTTGTATGTTCTCCGTTAGAGGCTCTTGTTGTACCGAGTGGGGTTACGTTTGCACCTTTTCCACGATCTGTATTTCTCGTCACCTACCGGAACCAACGCTGGTGTCCGGGTCTAATCTGATATTCTCGCTTAGGAACATAAACGATCTTGGCAATTAAGGCTACAGTTGTTGTTTTTTTTGAGGCATTACCGAGAAGAATGTTGTCCCAATCCGTGGAGATTAGGTCCCTGCTCATCAATGTCCAATGTGCTCACTCACAGCCCTGTTCTCTCTATTAAATACATGACAGGAATATAGCAGGTGACTCTCTCGCAGAAGAACGAGTATAAAGCAGTAGGTGATCGCTCCGGTGCAGATCAAGCGGGCTTCAGCTCCCTTTAGCCTCCTGTTGCTAAATTGACTGGGGCTGTGAGGTGCTCTGGCAGGATTTACAAATATTCCAGATTATGTTACACGTCTCTACTCTTCATCTCAATATATCACAACCTATCTTTCTACTCCAATAATAGTCTTTACTGCTGAATGGTCCAAATATAAAGGAGGAAAGGGAAGGGTATTGGTTTAGTATCCAGACGCGAGAGTTAGTGTGTTGGATGTGTTATTTATTTACACGTGAGAATAGAGAAGTGTTCCTGGTTCTATTTTAACATAGGGAGTGAGGGGGTTGAGATTGGTCGTCTACACTGATTGATGATGTTAGGAAAAACGGAGACCAAGCTTATTATTTTATTATTATTTTTATATACATTGTGTTTAGTCAGGTTTTTTTTTTATATTTTTTATATGTAAATTTTTTGTGTTTAATAATTTGTTTACCTTTTTTACTTTTTTATAATGAAAAGGTAAATATATAAATAGTTTTATGATAATTTTACAGCTCCCATCATGCATATCACACTGGGACTAGAATATGGTTTAAAAATATATTTAGCTTCATAAATCGGACAAGCAAGTAAAGAAAAACAAATAAACAACTGATGACCATTGAGTATCTTTCCTTTCACACACACACTGTAGGAGGCAGCTGGAGGCACGGAAAGTTGGAGAGGTGTGTGTGTGTGTGTGTGTGATGAGTTGTTACAAATGTGAAAGAAATAATGAGCTGTGGCAGAATCATAGTGGAAGGCTGTTTACCTGGGAGACACCTGGTGATGATACAAGGATGAAGTCACACTAGCCCTAAGACCTGTAGCCTGGAGACATTGCTGACGGCGAGATACCAAACTCACCCGTCTGTGGAAGTTATTCTACGAGCTGTCCAACAACCTTAAGACTTCTTGGTATTTATGAAGATCCTGAGGAAAAAAGCCCATTGCTCAGGTCTTTCGTGTTATAAGTCTAATTTCACACAGATCAGGGAAATTTTGTGAGAATGGGCCAAGAGGCTTCCCGCCAAAACACTAGAATTCCTCGGACAAGACTAACTTTAGCTTTAAGAAAGGCTGTGGTAACTTAAAAACCATTGTTGCCCTGAGAGTACTGTGTGGGAAAAATTTAGAACATAACCAAGAACCAAATGTGTCTTTTGTGGACTTTGAGAGAGCATCTTACTATAGACGCATTGCAGGTGGAAGCTGTCTTAAGTACTGAGACGTTAGTGGTGTGGGCTAGAGAATAGCTTTTGATCAAGTCCTTATTTTAGGGAGAAGATGTTGTTGTTGTTGTTAAGGGTGAAGGAGTTGTAGCAGAACTTGGGGTAATTTGGAGTAGTGGATAATACAGGTGTTGTTTGTCACCTGTACTGTTGTCTGTTTACGTGTAGAGGCGATAGTGGTGGAGCTGCAACAGGACGTGGAGGGAGGAGGAGCCAAGGTTAAGTTACTTTTGTGAAGGTTATAAAGTGTCTGGCCGAGAAGTTGCTGTTGTGAGTGAGAATACTGTGCTGTTGGAACAATGATAACAGCAGCTGATCAGTGTGCCATGATTATCACTATGAAGGATAAATAACAGAACAGGTACACCAAGTAACTCAGGTACTTATGAAAATCTTGGCACAACACGAGTGCTGTAGTAAAAAACAAGTTCGAGCAAAGATTAGTCTGGCTAACCCGCTTTTACACCACGGATATTGTTTAGAGGAAAGATCTTATGTAAAGGTGGAGGCTGGTGTAGTGGGGGGGTCTATGGGAGTGACTACGGCTGGATCTTGAGGCAGGAGGTAAAATTGCTCGATACTTTTGACGGGTGAGTATGGAGGAAGATGAGGATGAGGAAGATAGTGTTATGGACAGAGGAAGACCAGTGAGGGAGATAGTGTTATGGACAGAGGAAGACCAGTGAGGAAGATAGTGTTATGGACGGAGAGGAAGACCAATGAGGAAGATAGTGTTATGGACGGTGAGGAAGATCTACAGTCAGATGGATGGCAGATGAAGCTGACTGAGACTATCAGAAGTGGGCGGAAAATTTACTCTGACATGTTGTAGACTGACCAAACTTGTTGATGTTCACAGCCAAAAATAATTATGGACAATTCAAGAGGAAGACGGGAGGTGAGGGGTACCACCGGACCCAACAATAACATCTACACCCTTCATCAACTACTGTAGCTATACGGACCATCTTCAGTAAAGGCCACACACACACATCAGGACGAGAGTAATTAATATGCCTCATAGTAAACAGCTCGTTAACAACAGCCATAACAAAACTATGGCAAGTGGAGAAATAATGATAATTATTGTTAAAATTACTGAAGAAAATGTTAACCAATCTTAGCATCAGATCCTGTGGTTAATGATATAATATATATATATATATATATATATATATATATATATATATATATATATATATATATATATATATATATATATATATATATATATATATATATATATATATATATATAGTTAGATAGTTTAGTGAGATGGGGTAATGCAGCTTCTGGCCAGTAAAATATATAGCGTAGGGTTACCAGCAGTAAATCTATATGGACGCTAATCTTGAATGCAAATACGATACACAGAGAAAGCTTTATGTGCCAGCAGTATTTACTCGACAACTCTGCCATATTTCTGCCCCGGTTTATATATTCAAACCCCGAGATTAATAAATATCTCTTTGTGTGCCAGTAGATATAATATAATTTTCCCCGCCTAACAAAATCCTTCGAATGTTCTCATAAATTTCTAGTCCGGCATTCAGCACTCCGGGATATACCGTATAGGTACCAGAAAGGCATAAATTCGTCGAAAACAAGTGAGCATCGCCGCAGCTCATCCTGGATTCAATTCTTGTTTCACCGATGCATCACAATCCTATCCATGATATGGACTTAGGGAGACATGGAATCCTTGTTTACTTATTGAGCGAGCGCCACCAGCGACCCTGGCGGGGTAACAGCGAACTCTCGCGATTCTGACTGATGGCGACCGAATATTTATAGCCTCTGAGTTTGCCAGAGTTTGCTGAAGGGAGAATAAAAGTCACATTTTAACTAAAGGTAACTATGTAAGGCCTGAAATACGGTCTTAGGGCTCCCAACTTTAGACTGTGATAACTCGTGTAAACTGTGAGGAAGTGATGGCCGGGATATACAGTGATAAACTCCTCACAGGATAACGTAGGAACTCGTGGGTTGCAAAGTACTTCTCTGTCCAGCGTTCGTACGGGAGAGAGAGAGAGAGAGAGAGAGAGAGCTACTAAACAACAATATTGATTTTTGTGAGAGGGGCAAAACACAGTATATACCTGGAACTGAACCTCAATACATATTAAAAAAAACACTAGTTAGGATTGGTTAAAATAGGTCATGTTTGGGTTGTGTTGGGTTAGATTTGGTAAGAGTTAACATAGATTAAGTTTGGTTAGGAGTGAAGAAGGTTAAATTAGTTTGGGATTAAGACTGAAGGAAGTTATGTTTCGATTAAAGTAAGGTAAGTTGGGTTAGATTAAGTTAAGGTAGATTATGTTCGGGTTGCAGTCAAGTTAAGTTAGGTTAAGGTTAATGTTGAGGGTTAGTTAGGAATTATTAGAAAGAGATTAGGTAAATATTGGTGTGTAAGGAAAAGTGGCAGTTTAAATTTGTCTTTGGTTAGGTTAGGTTTGTGTGTTACATGTATAATGTTCGTATATTTGCTAAAAGTTGTTTGTGTTTGCAGGGGCTATATTAATGTATATTTGTTTGTCTTTCAGGTTTACTTGTGTGTTTGTGTGTGCTTGCATGGGTGTACACGTGAACTTTTGCTTGTTTGTTACAGGTTTGTTTGGTGTTTATCTTCAGTGTTTGTGTGTCTTTGTGCTTGTAAAGGTGAAATAGTGAACTTGTTTGTGTGTGCTTGCAGGGGTGTACACGTGTTTTGCTTGTTTGTTACAGGTTTGTTTGGTGTTTTTCTTCAGTGTTTGTGTGTCTTTGTGCTTGTAAGGTGAAATAGTGAACTTGTGTTTGTGTGTGCTTGCAGGGGTGTACTAGTGAACTTTTGCTTGTTTGTTACAGGTTTGTTTGTGTGTTTTCTTCAGTGTTTGTGTGTCTTTGTGCTTGTAAAGGTGAAATAGTGAACTTGTGTTTGTGTGTGCTTGCAGGGGTGTACTAGTGAACTTTTGCTTGTTTGTTTCAGGTTTGTTTGTGTGTTTATCTTCAGTGTTTGTTTATCTTCAGTGTTTGTAAAGGTGAAATAGTGAACTTGTGTTTGTGTTCCAGATGGTATCACAACAGTCAGGAGCTTCAGAACGAGACATCGAGGACAATGAAACTGCACAAGATCTCTAGAAACCTTCACCAAGATGCTATCTCCTGTGAGGTGAGTCCTGGTGTGGTGGTGATGTGTGGTGGTGAAGGGTTACTGTGGTGGTGATGGTGGTGAAGGGTTACTGTGGTGGTGGTGGTGGTGAAGGGTTAATGTGGTGGTGGTGGTGGTGAAGGGTTACTGTGGTGGTGGTAGTGAAGGGTTACTGTGGTGGTGAGTTGTGAGTGGTGAAGGGTTACTGGGTGGTGATGAAGAGGAGAGAGGGAGAAGGTTGAGGGATATGGAAGAGGCATAGGGAGAGTGAAGGAGGAAGAGGAGGAGAGAGGAATAAATTAAGAAAAATGGCGGAGGTAGAAGGGAGAGAGAGGAAGGAATTGGAGGAAGAGGATGAGAGAGGGAGGAAGAGAATGGGAGAAAAAGAGGCAGAATAGAAACGGGCGGAGGAAGGAAATGTAAATTGAAGAGGAGGAGGAAGGAAGGACGGACGAAGGGAGTGGGTAGAGATGAAGAAGAGGAGAGAGGGAAACATGAGTCGTGTGTGTGTGTGTGTATGTGTGTGTGTGTGTGTGTGTAAACGACTAGTCCATCACATTGTCTGGTCCTGTTATTATGCTGGTCACACAAGTGGCTCTCGTGACAGAACAAGTAGTCATAGGTGTTGTTGCTATAAACTGTCTGGTCAATGTGTATCTTTCACTTCCTCTAGGTCAAAGATTATAATTATCACTAGTAGGTTATCTAAGGTCACAGGCCCAGTCTTTTGGTAACCTCACTACTAAACATACAAAGGCTTATGGCTGGTTAGTATTTACAGAACACTTTTAGTCTTTGAGTATACATTCGTTTTCTTTCAGGTCGTCACTCGTTTGGTATATACCCACAGTACAGTTTGTGTTGTGGTGACCAGATGTTGAGCTTTTGCAAGTTTAACATAATTACTTCATGTTATTTAGATATTATACATACATAACCTGATCTACCTGTGTTTGATAATATAGAACAATAGGTTACTCGTACATCACATTTAATACCTAGATGACACTGTAGTTATGCGTGTTACCAGTTCAGTGTGTTAATGTTTGTGTATAACTTGTGGCTGTATGATGAATAACAAGTTGTACATCTTTCCAAAAGTGATTATTATTTAGTTTCGTCAAAGTAGATTATATTCACCTTGAGAACATCTCCGACACTATAACGTCACGCTGGGTAGACGGTGTAGGTGGTTTAGTTAGAGTGAGTGGTGTGAGGTGGGGTCATTACTCGTCAGGGGTTTAACATCATAAAGTGGAGATATTCTTTCATGCCATCACCTGAAGATTAGACACCATACCTTATATTGTGAGACGATTAAACACCCTAACGTTAACCTAACCTAACCTAACCTAATCTAACCTAACCTAACCTAACCTACAGTAATCTAACCTAACCTAACCCTGTCATGTTAATTTGAACATGATATACTTGACTGTTTAGTTGTGCGAGTCAGGTGGAGAGAGAGAGAGAGAGAGAGAGAAATAAACGCGAGAAAGGAAGAGGAAATTAGGGAAGGAGCGGAGTAGAGAGAGAAAGGAGAGGAGAAAAGTGGAGATAATGAAGGAAGAGAGAGAGAGGGAAAGGAATGGAAGGAAGGCGTGAGAGGGAGAGGACTGGAGGCAGGTTTCCGGTAGCTGTCACCAACTTGCCGGGGGAACCGCTCCAAACTCCTGCTGAAGTGCCTCTCCCTGTCCCTCACTCTCCCTCTCCCTTCTCCACTCTCATCCCCCTCTTTCCTCTCCTCCTCCTCTCATGTCTCATTCCCTTCTCACCCCTCCCCTCTCTTACCAAGTCCTTCCTCCCTTCCTTCCTCTCACTCCCACCTTCCTTCCCATCCTTTCTTTCCCTCTCCCTCTCACCAATCCTTCCCCTCTCACCACTCATTCTTCCCTCCCCCTCATCCCTCCACACCTCTCACCCCTCCCCACCTCTCACCCCTCGCCCCCCACACCCCTCACACCCCTCTCCCTCCCCCCCACCCCTCACCCCTCCCCCTCTCACCCCTCACCTCTCCCCCCACCTCACCCCCTCGCCCCTCCCCACCTCTCACCCTCACCCTCCCACCCCTCCACCTCCACCCCTCCCCGCCCCTCACCCCTCCACCTCTCCCCTCCTCTGCCCCCCTCACACCCCTCCCACCTCTCCACCCCTCCCCACCTCTCCACCCCTCTCCCCTCCCCACCCCTCCCCCTCCCACCCCTCCCACCCTCCCCCCTCCCCACACCTCTCCACCCCTCCCTCGCCCCTCCCACCCCTCCCCCTCTCACCCCTCCCCACCTCTCACCCCTGCCCCTACACCCCTCCCCCCTCCCCCCTCCCCCACCCCTCCCACCCCTCCCCCCTCTCATCCCTCCCACCCCTAACACCCCTCCCCACCCCTCACCTCCCCACCCTCACCCCTCCCACCCCCCTCACCCCCCCCCTCACCTCTCCCCTCACCCCCCCTCACCAGTTATCATGACCTCCATACTGCGTCCCTGATGGAAGTACTATTTTTAATATCTCTTGTGTCATTATTGCCCAACTCTTCACTCTCCTCACACAGCTGTTTTATCACACAGCTGTTTTACTCTCCTCACACAGCTGTTTACTCTCCTCACACAGCTGTTTTACTCTCCTCACACAGCTGTTTTACTCTCCTCACACAGCTGTTTTACTCTCCTCACACAGCTGTTTTACTCTCCTCACACAGCTGTTTTACTCTCCTCACGCAGCTGTTTTACTCTCCTCACACAGCTGTTTTACTCTCCTCACACAGCTGTTTTACTCTCCTCACACAGCTGATTTACTCTCCTCACACAGCTGTTTTACTCTCCTCACACAGCTGTTTTACTCTCCTCACGCAGCTGTTTTACTCTCCTCACACAGCTGTTTTACTCTCCTCACACAGCTGTTTTTACTCTCCCCACGCAGCTGTTTTACTCTCCCTCACGCAGCTGTTTTACTCTCCTCACACAGTTGTTTTTACTCTCACACCTCAGCCTCAACACTCTAGCTGCCATACAGGTGTACAAACCTCACCTCTGTCTCTCATAAAGTCGTAGGTCCTCAGTTCCCCCTGCCCCAGTAATTCTAGCAATTCCCCACCAGTACCAATTTCCAGTACCCCCAGTACCTCCAGTGCCCCTCCCCCCAGTCCCCCTCCTCCAGTGCCCCCCAGTACCCACCTCAGTAATTCATTGCCCCCAGTACCCCCATTGCCCACCCAGTACCCCCAGTGCCCCTCCCCTGTGCCCCCAGTACCCCCTTCAGCAATTCTGATGTTCCCCCCCCTCCCCAGTGCCCCCAGTACCCCTAGTGGCCCCCAGTGCCCCCTTTCTGCACACAAGTGTATAGTCCCTTGACGAGTTATTAATGCTCAGGTAACTCTGAATATATTTTCCTTCCTCTCGTAAAACTGAAGAAACTCTGAGCCTTAGGCCTCACAACCTGTGTGTGTGTGTGTGTGTGTGTGTGTGTGTGTGTGTGTGTGTCAGCCAGCCAGCCAGCCAGCCACCCTCAGAATTATGCTGAAAATTGGGTTCGATGACGTCTCTTTGTTACAGGTAGACCAACTAGCCAGATATCAAGGGTATCGTCAGTGGATGTCAATTTAACGACCACACTGAATGGTAGAAATGACATCATCAAAATGGCCTCCATGCTAACCCTCTAAGATTCACCGAGTCTTTGGTTGGCGACCATTTGCGTCATTGAGTTAGTGTGACTGTCAGTATATGTGTTTTGAGGGCCGAGGATTAAGAATATGACAATAAAAGGGTAATCTGGACGTGTATTAATCACAAAAAGCTACAAATAAAGTCAATTGCTCATTCGGATCACACATATACATCGGTATACAGATCAATGTGGAGCTTTACATACAAATTCAGTCATTTCTTATATTCCCAGTCGCCGTTTATAGAATGTCAAATACTTTTTGGTACAATCAGACCAAGTATTAATGACCAAGTCACGTTGTAATAGTCATTATTTCTAGTATCTAAACTCCCAGTTCGTGTGATATCAATAATTTCCAGCTGGATTACAGCACCCCACAGCATCACACTCGCATGCTGGGATACATATCTGTTGAAATTTGAAACATTTACAGGAGGGCAGATTTTCCATCTCAGTTTTCGCTTTCCGGAATAAGTCGAGCCTTGTGTTGTTAAAGCCAGACCTGCAGTCAGGAGGAGAGTAAATATGGCAGACGAACTCATTCACATCCTCCAGCGAGTTAACACGCCCAACACCCTTCATGAGGTGAGGATGTTCACGGAATACCCTCCAACAAGTCATTGCCAAACCCAGCGAAGGAAGATGTTGTATCTGATCCATTCAGCGCATGGAACCCAACAAGTTATCCTTTACAGTGTTTGACAACTTCTTAACTACCTCATGCACTGGATAGCTACACCGATCCTGGACAGTTCCACTGATCATCCACACATTAGCCTCTCGAAAGAAGTGGAGAAGGAGGAGGAAGACGTCTGTATTTCTGCACATTACCAATATGAACAGATATCCTGACCTTGTAGCCTCGAGTCCATGGAGAATGATGAGGGCATCCGCTTATTTATATGTCATTGGTAATTGTCGTGTCATTTCTACGAACTTTATGGAATCCGGTGGTGTGCCCAGCAGCATGGGAAAAGATTCACTGAAGCCTCTGAGCGTGTAGCTTGGTGTCAGTTTCTTGCCTTTAGATGCTGTATACATAATATCCTGTGCAATACTGTGCATCCTTCTTTCCACGTCGTTATTGATAATTTTGTTGTTCACTCTTAGTCTCTAGTACCGCATCTCCTCCAAACAGAATGCTAAGAAACAGATGGATGCTGTCTGAGATCATTACTACTACATGATCATTATCCACCCCTTTCCAACCTGCATAATGCCCCTGTGTATCTCACAAGTCTGCACGTAGCTGCAAAGCTGTATGTACAATCTCACGCGGAGATGAAGTTATTGAAGTTGATTTTGCTGGTCCCTCATCTGATGTGACAGCAAGAATCAGAATCTTCTGGAGCAACCATATCCAGTGTGTGTGTGTGTGTGTGTGTGTGTGTGTGTGTGTGTGTGTGTGTGTGTGTGTGTGTGTGTGTGTGTGTGACAGCTATATTCTTCCTGTCACGTGGATACAATAGTAGAAAGTTAAGAGGTCGGACAGTACAGCACTTAGGGCGGATGATGCTCTTCACATCTTGGTAGAAGCTTTGTCTTCTGGACAAATACTTCGGTCAAATCGCTTCTCCACTTGTTGTTAGGCACATTCTTTGATTCTGGTTCTAAACGAGGGACTTATCATACACATGTCCGTGTGACAGTCCTTGAACTATATCAGCTCACAACTTATCCAAGTGAATGTCGCCAGTTGCATTTGCATAGTTACATCATAAGCCGCCTGATCCAAAACTTTTTACGACATGTTGAATGTTGACACATTTCTCATAGTCTTTTCTGTCGGGGTTCTGGCAGAACATGCAAAGTTCCCAGTTCATGACTGACAGGCCAGAGGACCTCGATTCCTTACGTGATGATTGGATTTTCTCGGCAGCTGAACCTCTGGCTTGTGGATTTTTCACTTTATATCTGACTCAATCGTTCAAGCCTGGTTTCTGTGGTGAAGGAGCCATAACAGGATTTGTATCAGGCAACTGTACGTTCAGACCAGTCATCATCAGTCACTCCCGCTAGTCTCTGCAATAAGCCTGGTGACTCAGTGTCTGTCAGCACTGTACATTGTTCTACTACTTGTCGAATTCGTTGCTTTCCTGCTCTGTACCGTTCCTCAATGCAGTTTCTCCTCAACGGGACTTCTCACAAAACAAGCATACATTTTCTGAAGGACTAGACATCTTCCATTTATGTCTCAATACAGCCACAGGTTCCTGTTTCACTTTTCTTCCACCTGTAAGGATGTAATGAATGAACACAAGACATATGACTGAACATAACACATGTGGCACAATAGACAATATCATACTTTAGATTGAGCACAAATATAAATTGCAATTGGCAAATCGTCATTTCTGAAGTTCTGATGGATACCGATATATGCTGAGCGATACCACGATATTTCCACATATGATTTACAGAATAACACCAGATATGTCATTATTATTACACCAAAAACACCGGCCGCTATTTTGTTTTGTCATTTTGAACATAAATATGGTAACAGACAAACGGACATCCACCCAGGTGGCGTTGCCCTATATGTGTGGAATATGTCTAGCTAGTTTGTTTACTTGTAACAGAGAGAGATGCCGTCTAATGGAACGCTAGCCCGTGTTGGCTTGCTGACTATCAGGTGTCACTGATAAGAATAGGAGGTAGTACTGCTTACACCGTCCTGGCCATGTGGGGAGGGTGGTGTGACGTACTTACTCCCGTGATTTGCCTACAGTGGCATTTCTTGTGTTCTATATTTTACAGATGACACCAACATTAAAACACAGAAACTTAGGTTAAAACAACACTGTATACACTCTGACGTCCTCTTCTGTTATGACCATTGAAACTGTACTTTATTATTTTTATGTAAGCATCTCTCAATAAATTTGGCTTTGTCTTCCAAAATTGACATTCGTGTTATTGTGTTGTGTTGTGTAACCGAGCAGTGAAGCATGTTTGTGTTTTAGTGAAAAGGACTCTTGCTTTATTTACCATGTGGGATACTGTGTGAAGATACTACACCCCGAAGTGGTTTACCCACCTCTTCATCACATCGTTTTTAACGTGAAGTGACACGAGCGTCAGGCAGTGAACCGCCACCCACACGCTGCAGCCCGTAAAGGTGCTCAAGAAAGATGAGAGAGTATTAGACAACAGATAATAACACTTCCCCGTAAACAGCATCAGTCTGCTCCCTCAAGCAGACTGAGAGGTGCAGAAAATAGTAGACTTGGTGACAAGAAGTACAGTACAGTATCTGCCCTGAACGGGATATTCTGTTAATCCTCGGTGCTCTTGTCATCTTATATACTACTCGTAACCGTAAAATTTCCAGGCCCTCCAGACTGTTCTTATGTACTACACACTCTGGTACTCTGGCCATATAGAAAGGACTTACTGTACTTCAACTCAACCTTGGGGTCTAGTGTCATTCATCACAGACAGGGTGAGATACTCTTACCTTCACCACCTTGTTATTATAAGGAAGTTTGTGAAATTATTTTTACGACGTCGGTGTGAAACTTGTAACACAAACTAGTGCTGTCTCGCATCAGTAAAGGTATCACTCAAGAATTGTCCTGAGGCCGACGAGATGTTCCTGTTCTGGCGATATATGAGAGGCCATGACGACGACAAAGATCCAGGTCGAACTAGAGCAGGGGTCACCAGACTACGGCCCGCGACGTCAGTTCATCAGGCCCGCCATGGTAGCTCCGCCTACGCTCTGACGTTACCATGGATTCCATGGCTTTCGTTCTGGCTTGCAAGTATTGAACAGAATGATTATGCGGCCCGCGCTCATCATTCTTTCAGTTATCCGGCCCACTGTGAAAAAAGTTTGGTGACCCCTGAACTAGATGTATCCATCCCACAAAAGGTGTTGGTTTGTGAAAGATGTCTGAGGATTTACCCGGGAGGGAAGGTGCTGGGAGACTGGTGAAGGTGACTGTCCGGCGACTCGCTGCTTTACCAAACCTTTCAAAGCTTAAGATAGCTGTAAGAATTATTCTTATACCCGAGAAGGGAGAAAGGGGGGTGGGGGGGGGGGGCTGGGACGATTTGCCGAGGGCCCCCGCCCACAGGGGAGCCCCCAGTTTGTGATGTAAGTTTCTTGTAATATTTCAAAACATTCATTGGTGCTTATATTTATTTATGCTTTTTAGTTTGAATAAACAGCTGTCATATACAGTACTGAGTGAAGATCAAGGGTGATACACGCACGTGATATCAGTGTTCACCAGTTAGGTAATTGATTTTCTTTATATAAAATATTTATGATGAAAGTCCTGAAATTCCAAATTTAATTCATATTCAATATCCATGAGGATCATTTAGTGCATTCCTTCGGTGATTAATATGGACGATAAAAGTGATTAAATGATAGACACTGTAATAGCAATTGATTTTCTGATGACACTATTAATATTAATAGTGTGTTATGAACATCATTATTTGAAAGTAGGAAACCTAATATAAAATTTCTGGAGTATCGATATAATAAGTAATATACAGGACCATGACAAAGAGGGTAGATTGCTTTGAGGGCCCATTGGAGGCCCACCCCTGGCCACTACTAGGCTCTGGGGGTATTGCGGAGGTGTACAACGAAATGTACACATAACACAAGCTTAAGAATTTATCCCTGTATCACACAGCCTCACCTACAGCTGTCCAACACGGTAACCACTTGTCCAAACACCTAACACGTGTAAGAGTTTCTTCCCTTCTCCAGTTATCAAGTAGAGTCGACACGTGTCCAAGATTTTAACAGGTGTAAAAATTCCCTTCCCCCCTTCTCTACGGCAGGTGTCGAATAAGGTGGGCACATCCAAGAAGACCCAGAGTGTGCACGTGCAGTATGGCCCCATGTTCCGTTCACTGCCCAGGGACGTAATGGCCGAGACGGGGAAGGAGGTGGCGCTTAAATGTGATGTGGACTCTAACCCGCCAGCCACTATAGTGTGGCACCAGGAGGGATCTGACACGGTACTGTCCTCCTCTCCACTCAGTGTTCTCTAAAACTGTTATGGTCAGGTGTACTTATACTTCTTGGAGATGTAATTGTGATGTTGTTTTTACTACTACTACTACTACTACTACTACTACTACTACTACTACTACTACTACTGCATTATCATTACTACTACCACTACTGTTATTATTAATATTATTATTATTATTATTATTATACAAACCCGATTCTTAGTACATATATAATTTTTAACCTCATCAGGCAGCTCTTATGACAACCTATCCTGAGGGGCCCGATTCACTCACTAACTCCTACACTGAGAGGAAGGACGTCACCCTGGCCAGAGTCCTCACCTCATCAGCCAGAGGAGATAATGTAGGAACCTTTATGAATCCATGGCTGTATCGGGTTCCTTAGTGTTTGTTAGTTAAATACATTCTCTTGTTAAGGAAGAAAATTAAGTGTATAGAATCTTAAAGGAATTCATCTTGATATAGTAGGTTATGGTTGCTACTTATGTGCATTCTCTATTGTGGGTTAATTTCAGTGTAATCAGTTAGACGCGTTATCACCTCCATAGTCACGGGAGAAATTCATGCATTACTGGAGTGACTGACTCGGCCTGCCCACTGAGTACACTTTATTTATAACATACAGAATATATTATCATGGATGTTCTTTTGAACTGTTTAATTAGACATTTTATAGGGGGTAAGACATAAACCTGTAGGACTAATAATAATAATGATAATAATATTAGTGATGATAATGATAATAATACCAACAACTACTACTAATGATAATAAACTTAATAAGGAAGTTATTTATAAACATATCCCTAGTTAAGTGATCCAAGGTACTGAGGGTAACCTGCTAACCACTGCACCACCGCCCATCACTACATATACTCACCAGAATATTGGATTAAGGGGTTGAATTATCTTATCATCTCACTATGTCTTCCTCTCAGTGTTTATGATCAAAGTTAAATTGGGTAATTGTTGAAACACACTAAATATACAGTGGGTGGTGGTGGTAGTGTTTCAGTGTGAGAGAGTGTGTGTGTGTGTGTGTGTGTGTGTGTGTGTGTGTGTGTGTGTGTGTAATAATAATAATAATAATAATTAACGGTTTATTGAAAGAGCTTGGCAGCCAGAAGGCTGAAAATATACAGTTACATATTTGGGGAATGGGTTACGAATTACAAATAATATACAAGTAACATAAGTGACTAAATAAGACATATAATAACTAGATGGGGAAAGTTCAAACTACAGTTCATTTCAACATAGTGACAGTGCAAGGAGTAGTGTTTACTGGGAGAATACATGATGTGTGTGTGTGTGTGTGTGTGTGTGTGTGTGTGTGTGTGTGTGTGTGTGTGTGTGTGTGTGTGTGTGTGTGTGTGTGTGTGTGTGTGTGTGAAAATAGAGCATGAAACACAAAAATTTGCAGATCATCACAAGATGCGCGAATTTTTCAATTCCATTAAAACATTTTATGGGCCAATCACTTGTGGCGCAGCCCCCCTCCGCTCATCCGACGCCAATTCCCTAATTAAAGACTATGAAGGCCTCCTTCAGCGCTGGAAAGAGCACTACCATTCACTGCTCAACCGAAACACCGATGTGGATGTCCTGATTACCCAGCATCCAGAGATGACCCACCTCAGCTATCCCCCATCCCTGGATGAGGTAGCTATTGCCATCAAACATATGAAAAATAACAAAGCCCCAGGGTCTGATGGAATCCCAGCCGAGGTGTATAAAGCAGGAGGACCTCTGCTTACCAGCCGTCTCCACTCTCTCTCCTGGAGAATATATGGGAAAAGGAGGAAATCCTCCAAGCTCTTAAAGACGCTTCCATCGTCAATATTTATAAGGACAAGGGAGACCGGTCAGACTGTGGCAACTACCGCGGGATCTCGCTGCTGTACATAGTTGGCAAGATTATCGCCCGAGTCCTCCAAAACAGACTTCTTCTTGAGGTGAAAAACTTCCTCCGAGAATCTCAATGTGGTTTTAAACCATCACGTGGCACCACTGACATGATCTTTGCTGCCTGCCAGATACAGGAAAAGTGCAGAGAACATTGTCGTGATCTGTACATGGCTTTCATTGATCTAACCAAGGCCTTCGACTCGGTCAACAGGGAAGCCCTCTGGTGGACCCTCAGCGGTTTTGGCTGCCCACCAAAATTCATCGCCATTGTGAGGCAGCTCCACGATGTCATGAACGGCAGTGTCCTGCACAACGGCACCCAGTCTGAGTTCTTCCCCATCCAAACAGGGGTTAAACAAGGGTGTGTACTGGCACCAACACTCTTCTATTTTCTCGGCTGCCTTCCTTACTCGTGCCAGTGCCAATTTAGCCAGCGGGGTGGACATCGAGTACCTGATGAAGGGCTTTTTCAACATAAAACGACTCCAGGCAAGAACAAAGGTGTCGGCAGTTTCCATTACTGAACTTAAGTATGCAGACGACCTCACCCATGTTGCTCACACTGAACACGACCTACAGGAGATCCTGAACACCTCCGCAGATGCATATGCATACTTCGACCTTGAGGTGAATGTATAAAAGACTCAGATTTTCTTCCAGCCTGCCCCTGGTTCACATACACCTCCACCATCCATCCAGCTTAACAGTACTACCCTCTAATGTTACCCACTTTTGGTATCTCTGCTCCCACCTGTTCACCGCCACAGACATTGATGAAGAGATTCAGCATCGGATCAGATGTGCATCTCAAGCCTTTGGCAGACACCGTACCCGTGTCTTTAGCTGTAGGGAGCTGAAATTATCCATAAAGTTACACGTATATCTAGCAGTGGTCCTCCCCACCCTGCTATATGGCAGCGAGACATGGATCATAAACAGGAGGCACCTCAAGGCACTTGAAAATTTTCACCAACGTAGTCTACGTTCCATCCACCGAGTTCCCTGGGAAGACAAGAGATGAAAATAAATGCCAGTATTCTTGCTGACACCAACTGTAAAAGCATCGAGGCGACCATTATCCATGAACAACTACGCTGGACTGGCCATGTTATCTGCATGGACAACAGTAGATTGCCAAAGCAGCTACTTTATAGTCACCTAACGAATAGTAAACATAATGCTGGCGGGCAACTGAAAAGGTATAAGGATAGTCTTAAGACAAACCTGAAAAGGTGCCAAAAGGGCCCCTTCACCTGGGATATGATCACTCCACACCGTAATGCTTGGAGAAGTCCACACGAGAAGCTGTCAATACTTTCGAGTTAGCCCGACTGCATAACGAGGCAGACAAGCGCCAACGCCGGAAGGACGCTGTCGCCGCCCCTCCCGCTGTAGATGTAGCCCCCCACATGTGCAACATCCGTGAACGACCTTGCCGGTCGCGTATCGGCCTCTTGAGTCACCTCAAGCCTCACCAGTGAAGGTGACATCCCTAATAACTCATATCATTGTATCACAGCTGGATGATCGTCATACTCGATTCCGAGTGACAGCAAAGTAGTAGTAGTAGTGTGTGTGTGTGTGTGTGTGGTGACGCTCTCCCGGTGAAGGTGAGAATGGTGGTAGTGGCGTGTTTTGGTTGTAATGGTGATTGTGGTGTGGTATGGGGTAGTGGTAGTTGTGGTGATGGTTGTGGTAGTTTATATACGCTCTATAATCACTAACCCACACTATAATCACTATTTCACACTATAATCACTAACACACACTGTAATCACTAACCCACGCTATAATCACTAACACACACTATAATCACTAACCCACACTATAATCACTAACACACACTATAATCACTAACACACACTATAATCACTAACCCACACTATAATCACTTAACACACTATAATCACTAACCACACTATAATCACTTAACACACACTATAATCACTAACACACTAATCACTAACACACTATATAATCCTTCAACACATACTAATCACTAACACACACTATAATCACTACACACTATAATCACTAACCCACACTATAATCACTAACCCACTATAATCACTAACCCACACTATAATCACTAACACACACTATAATCACTAACACATAATCTAACACACTATAATCACTAACACACACTATAATCACTAACCCACACTATAATCACTAACCCACACTATAATCACTAACACGCTATAATCACTAACACACACTATAATCACTAACCCACACTATAATCACTAACTCACACTAAAATCACTCCCACACTATAATCAATAACACACACTATAATCATTAACACACACTATAATCACTACCACACTATAATCACTAACCCACACTATAATCACTAACCCACACTATAATCACTAACCCACACTATAATCCCTAACCCACACTATAATCACTAACCCACGCTCATCTCTGCCCCCACACAGATCATCGGCTCAGGTAACGAGTTGGTGGTAAGTGTGAGCCGTCACGGCGGGGGTGTACAAGTGTGTGGCAGCGGTGAGAGGCTTCCCGGAGCTACAGGGCCAGCTCAGGGTCTTGGTGAAGGGGCCCCCGACCATCGTGAGCGCCGGGGAACAACAGGGCCGGATGGGGGACACCGTGACCCTGGAGTGTAGCACTGTTTCTATCCCAAGTCCTATCCGGATCACGGGCGTACAACGGGCGGAGTTGACCTGAGGTGGTATTGTATGTAGTGAGGGGATGGTTGGGTTTTTGATGGTTTAAGTTTCAGGTTTAGTTGTAGGTTTTTTTTTAGTTTTGTATTTTAGAGTTTATTTTAATTTTTTAGGTGGTTTTTTATTTTAATTTTGAGTTTTCTGTTTTATTTTTTAGGTTAAATTTCTGTTGCCGATTTTTTAGGGTTATTTTCAGTGTCATTTAACATTTGTGGTTTATATTGTTTTAGTTTAATTTTTTTTTTTATTTTTAGGTTTATTTTGGTTTAGTGTACGACCTTTCAGTTATATTTCGAATTTTTTGTTTTAATTTTTGGTTTATATTTAGTTTCAGATTGTTTTCCTGTTTTAGTTTTTGTTAGATAAGTTTTAAGTTTTAGTTTCATACACACATGTTACTATATTATACACGTATCATACACACGTTACTATATTATACACGTATCATACACACACGTTACTATATTATACACGTATCATACACACACGTTACTATATTATACACGTATCATACACACATGTTACTATATTATACACGTATCATACACACACGTCACTGTTATTATACCCGGTACACCTGCATCACACCTGTTGCAGGAGACAGGTGAAAAGGTCACCCTGACTCTCTTCAACTTTCCCTGATTAGAAAAAACTGGGGTCAAAACTTATCTCACCTGTCAGAGACTTTCTTCGTCAACAAGTTATCTTCTTCACACACACACACACACACACACACACACACACACACACACACACACACACACACACAAAACTTAAGAAATTTCAAGTTTTTCCCATCTCGACTGTGAGGTTGGCTACTCTGATGGGCCGCTGTTTATAAGTGTTGGTGAGAGCTGGATTGAAATTATTGTGAGATATGACGAGTGAACGGCGGCAGTGATGGTCGGTATTTGGTGATAGTGGTAGTGTGGGGGGGCGTTCACCATTCTTTCCTCTCACTTCCTTCCCCTTTCACCGCCCTCCCCTACCGCCCTCCCTTTCACCGCCCTCCCTTCTAACCCCCCTCTACATCCTTCCTCTCATCCTCCTCTCACCATCCTCCCTCTCACCATCCTCCCCTCTCCTATCTCCCCTCTCACCATCCTCCCCCTCTCCCATCCTCCCCTCTCACCATCACCATCCTCCCTCTCACCTTCCTCCCCTTCTCACCATCCTCCCCTCTCACCGTCCTCCCCTCCCCATCCTCCCCTCTCACCATCCTCCCCTCTCACCATCCTCCCCTCTCCCATCCTCCCCTCTCCCTATCCTCCCCTCACCAACCTCCCCCTCTCCTCCTCTCTCCATCCTCCCCTCTCACCATCCTCCCCTCTCACCATCCTCCCCTTCCCATCCTCCCCCCTCTCCCATCCTCCCCTCTCCCACCATCCCTCCCCTCTCCACCATCCTCCCCTCTCCTATCCTCCCTCTCTCACCAACCTCCCCTCTCATCTCCCCTCTCACCATCCTCCCCTCTCCACCATCCTCCCCCTCTCACCATCCCTCCCCCCCTCTCACCATCCCTCCCCCTCTCACCCTCCCTCCCCTCACCATCCTCCCCCTCTCCACCATCCTCCCCTCTCCCACCATCCTCCCCTCTCACCATCCCTCCCCTCTCCCTCCACCATCCTCCCCTCTCCCCTTCTCCCCTACCCTCTCCCCTCTCTCCCATCCTCCCCTCTCACCATCCCTCCCCTCTCACCATCCTCCCCTCTCCTCCTCCTCCCTTCTCCATCCTCCCCTCTCACCATCCTCCCCTCTCCTCCCCTCTCACCATCCCTCCCCTTCACCATCCTCCCCCTCTCACCATCCTACCCCTCTCACCATCCTCCCCCTTTCACCCATCCTCCCCCCTTTCACCATCCTCCCCCTCCCATACCATCCTCCTCTCACCTTCCCTCCCCTTCTCACCATCCTCCCCTCTCCACCATCCTCCCCCTCTCCTCCTCCCCTCTCACCATCCTCCCCCTCTCCACCATCCTCCCCTTCTTCCCTCCCCCTTTCACCATCTCCCCTCTCACCATCCCACCATCCTCCCCTCTCCTTCCTCCCCTCTCCCCATCCTCCCCTCTCACCATCCTCCCCTCTCCCACCATCCTCCCCTCCCTCACCATCCTCCCCCTCTCACCATCCCCCCCCCTCTCACCATCCTCCCCCCTCCCCCTCACCTCCCTCCCCCTCACCTCCCCCTCTCACCATCCTCCCCTCTCACCATCCTCCCCTCTCACCATCCTCCCCTCTCACCATCCCTCCCCTCTCAACATCCTCCCCTCTCACCATCCTCCCCCTCTCACCCATCCTCCCTTCTCCACCATCATCCCTCTCCACCATCCTCCCCTCTCACCATCCCTCCCCTCCCATCCTCCCCTCTCCTTCCTCCCCTCTCCCATCCTCCCCTCTCACCCATCGTCCCTCTCACCATCCTCCTCTCACCATCCTCCCCCTCTCACCATCCTCCCCCTCACCATCCTCCCCCTCTCACCATCCTCCCCTCTCCTCTCAGTAGCTTGCACTATCTTCAACTTGTGATATATATACAACAGGAGAATATGGCCATTTAATTAGATAAAAATAAGAATTTCGGCCGTTTATGATGGAGACAGCGCCGCTTAGCACGTGAGAACAGGCCCCAGTACAACTGGCCGCCCACCATCCGCCACACCCGCCGCCCAGTCCTGCCACCCATCACCCGTGACTACCACACACTACTTACTGCCTGTACCTAACATCCACCGCCCTTACGCACATGCACTGCCCACCCACCCACCACCCACCCACAAGCTTAGCAACTTGTAGTAAGTGCTGGGACGGAAAGTTTTAAAGGAGGCTAGATAGATTCATGGATGATAGAGTGGTAGTAACTCTCTACAGGAGCTGCCATGCACAGCCAACCGGCTATTGCAGACTCCTTATTTTCTAAAAAAAAAAAAAAACAACCACTCAGCCACACAGCCTACAGCCACCATAGCCGCCCACCCCCACCATAGCCGCCCACCCAGCCACAGCCGCCCACCCGCCTCCCGCTACTACACCCCACCCATCCGCGGGTATGAGATTACATTTGTATTGGTGTAATGACGCTAATGTTATTTGGATGGAGATAGGGTGAAGCAGTGTCTGGTGTCCTGCACCTTGAGAGAGAGAGACAGACAGACAGGCAGAGAGTATAGATAGACAGAAGAGAGAGAGAGAGCATCTCGTTAATGTGGACTTTCAAGTAGGAAGTCTATAAGTCCCCTAGACTAACTGATGCTAAGTAATGGTAATATATTGTGTGTGTGGTGATGGTAGTGGTGCGTGTGTGTATTGGTAGTGCTGGTGTGAAGAGAGAGAGAAGAGAGAAGCCTGGACCGGATCACTTATTAATGTTAATCAAATTCCTTTTAAAGTCTTTCTTTATTTTTTTTTACTCTAAGAAACGAAACGTAATTTATTCCCTGACTTGAGAAAATATTTACAAATCTATTCATATATATTTTTTACCCAACTGTTCTGGAGAAGTTTTGAATTATTAATGAAAAACCGTGTGTATTAAATTCCCTGTGAACGGATCTGAGAATTCAATCACCAGTTCGCTTAGTTAACTTTACAACAGTGGGATTTTGATATTAATTCCGAATTTAGTTTATAGATTAAATTAATACGATTAATTATTTAAATATATCCTCACTTACCAGCAGTAAATATCGTACGATCTTTTACAAATTGAGACTTAAGTAGGGGTTGTGTACGGAGTCTTACTGGCATAGTAAAATAGTAAACATGGGAGTATTTTTCGCCTGAGACTCCGGGTGTTGTGTTGACGCTAGGGAGTGCTGCTTCAGGTGTCTTGGTGTTGTGTTGGACAGGGATGTAAAAGGAAAAATATACCTCCCATCTTTATTATCTTTTCTTCTTGTTCTTCCTTTACTCATCTTCCTTCTGTTATCCTCCTCCTCCTTTCTATCTTTTTTCTTCCTCCTCCTTTTCTATCGCCCTCTTCTTCCTCCTTATCCTTTCCTTCTCTTCGTCTTTTCTACTCGTTGATTAGGTTGGCCATTCACACACACACACACACACACACACACACACACACACACACACACACACACACACACACACACACACACACACACACACACACAGCTTCTCTCCACCGTGTATATCCCGAGAGATAGAGCCGCTGTCTCTTAACAACACGTAAATTGACGATAATGGGAAATGACAGATTATAATTTAAGTTTAAACAAGATTGGCGGAAATCTATAAGACGGTATACAAGGATAAGTGGTTAGGTTAGGATTGAGTTAAGTGATGAATAAATGGTTAAAGCTCTCCCATTACTCACATCACCCTCCTCTCATATCAACCCATCACACTCCCCCTCTCCATCCTCCCCATCACCCATCTCACTCCACCATCACCCATCCACCTTCACCATCACCCATCACCTCCTATCACTCCACCTCTTATCACCTCTCCATCACCCATCCTCCTCCATCACCCATCACACTCCTCCATCCCCATCACCCTCCATCATCACCCATCACACTCCATCATCACCCATCACTCACCATCACCATCACATACTCCATCACCATCACCCTCCCACCATCTTATCCCACCCACCATCACCCTCCCATCTCCATCCTATCACCCATCATACTCCTCCATCACCCATCACCCTCCCACCATCACCCATCACCTCCACCATCCCATCTCTCCCACCATCACCATCCACCATCCCATCATACTCCTCCCCATCACCCATCACCTCCTCCCACCATCACCATCATACTCCTCCATCACCCATTAATTTTCTTTGACAAAAATAATCAGTTATGTCATGAGCAGAGTAATTTCCCTGAAAATATTTATAGTTTCCCTTAGCTGTGAGTTTTTCTTTGGTTTTCGTTTGTTTACATCAATATTATTATTTTTATTTTTTTTATTATCATCATCATCATCATTATTATTATTATTATTATTATTATTATTATTATTATTATTATTATTATT